TTCCAAAGATTTTTTTTTCTTCCTATTTTTGACGATTGGAGCCCTTAAGATGCACGATGGAATTGTGTTTTGCATTTTTTGGTAAAAGGAGCAAAGCGAGGACCTGGAGATATACGCTGGAGCAATCTCCTTGGAAGGATTCAGCACGAGTAGATGGTAAACACTTAAAGGGGAAAAGGGGGGGGGTTTGTTTAAAATAGTAAATCAGTAAGTCATTTCTAAATTTAAAGAAAACGAAATTGGAGTTGAAGAATAAGTAGGTTTCCAATTGGCTGTTGCCGTTTTTCTTTTGAAAAATAAACGTTTTTTAAAAAACTATGCATGGTTGTCCTTTTTCCTCTTCTAAGATTTTAACTGGGAGACTATCAGTTAATACTTTAAATGATAAGATTCTGACTTGCATTTATGTGTTAGTAAATTAAAGGTTCTTGAAAGGTAATTTAATGGTATCAAGCAATTCTTGTTAATTGTAAAAATATTCAGGGGAAGAGAAGAAAGGATGAGAAAGGCAATTGTGTATGTAACATGGTGAATGATGGGTGATCTAGTCTCTGAAAGATAAATTTCCAATACTTTGATAATAAAAAAGTTATTAAAATGTATAGATGCTGCTTATTTTTGGTGATCATCTAGTTAAGATAGGCTTTTATACAAAATTTGAGTGATGACTGGTAAATGTTAACTTGGCGGTAGCCTTTGAGATTCTCCATGAAACTCATCTCAAAAATTGGTAAGTATTAAATGTTTACATTCAGCACAGATTAGAATTCTCAACACAATTTACTTCCTTTTTGAAATGTGAACAGTACACCCGAAGAATAACTGCTTATTCGAGTTAATTGTTGCTGATGAAAAGCTGATCATTCTTTAGAATTTTGCCTTGTAAACCCCTCTCAAACATAAGGTTATTATTCTGTATCCAAAACATGTCAAAGCAGTGATTATATCTTGTATTCTACCAGTTTTTGTGTCTTTTTACTTTGATAGGCCCTTGGTTTTAAATTTTTAATTTGCTTGAGTTAGAGAGGACTTTAACCTAAAATTCTTCATCTGATTTCCTAATAGCTATTCACAGCCATCAAACCATTCTTTTTCTGCACCCAATTAAATTTTAACATTTCCCTTGGGTGCTAGTGATATTTGGAAGCTGAACTTAAGACAACTGTTCAGGTAACATGGTTTAAAACTATGAAAACTAAAAATCTTGGTAGAGGAGGAAATGGGCCCCAAGATTTGCATAAGGTCACCTAACTAATACATGTAAATGAACACTGGAATGTTAGGAAGAGCGATATTCAAAACTAGGATTCCACTTGAAATATTAAGTAAAGCAACTGGTATAGATTTATTAAGGAAGTTTATGTAAATTCAAAATAGGTTCAAGAAGCAGAAAGATTGATTAAAGTTACGTTTCTCATTCAATTATTAACCAGGCTTGACACTGCTTACGAGATCAGGCGTTTTTAGGGTATGACATTTAATTTTGGAATGGTAAATGGGTAAATTTAAGCCTGATTTCGTTTGTGTTTACTGAACATTTTGATAACAGGATCAAAATGAAAATTGCCTTCACTCAAGGTTGAGTACATTTAAGCTAAGTTGAAAGATGTGCTCTACTAAAACTTTTAGTTTGAACTCCAGGGTGGAAACAAGATAGGCTGTTTGAAGATTAGAAAGGGCAATGTATTAGCAAATGACAGAGGGGCACAGGTTTTGCAGTTAAAAGCAAGACAGCTAAAAGTTGTGAGGGGAGATGCCTGTTTTTTTCAGTCTTAGGAGAATGGCCCTTAAACCTCTACCCGTATTGGCAGCTATTAGAAGAAAGCCACCCTTTTGGAAACTAAAAAAGTTGGCTTGAATTTTCCACCTTTTCTCCCTATTTGTCTCCTCTTAGAATATTACAGGGAGCCTATAATTAGTTTATTTTCTAACCAAGGAAAAACTTAAGTCTAAGAAGCACCTATTTTTCATAACATCAGATTGAGTAACCCATCTTGCTGTTCAGCCCACATGCTGGAAACAAAAGGTAAGAAACCCATTTTCTGATTCCTATTTGGGATCTGAATTTTAAGAATTAAGCTATGTTTAATTTCTTAATGTTTGGAGTATGAACAGATTTCCCTTGTTTAAAATGTTTTACTAATTTTTACACTTCAATACATTTCTAGTGCATATATCCACTCGTGCTTAAGTGCAATATGATTCTAGAATTTCAACTTTTAGTTTTGTCTTTGAAACATCTTGCTCATTAGGGCTGGTGTTTCTAAGTTTCTGTGAAGATGAATTTACATGTGCCTTCTTGCTTTGTATATGAAGTAGTAAATACACTATCAAAAGTAGTTATTAAAAGGAGAGAAATTAGGTTGAGGTTCTATTGTAACATAACCATCCTTTGGTTAAATTTAATTCTATTACTGTATTGAGAATGCAAAGGCAGGAAATGGCTTCACAGTTTCTTATCCAAAAAACAATGAAAACTGATTTTGTTGGACTAATGTAAAACCTGACAAAAATTAGTGTTTTCATTTTGTACTTAACTGTGACTAACTTGTCTTCCTGCAGAAGTACTGATGTGTGTCATAGTTACCATGGGGTTTGCTGAGGGTTTTATGTTTTATATAGGGTCTGTATGCCATATCTTTGTAAATAGGCTCTGAATTTCACATACATTTGTCCTCAAGAGTTTGGAAAGGGGATTGTAGAACTATAATAGGATACGTAAGGCTAAAGATTGTGTAACTTTGGATGTGATTAAAAACAAACCTGTTACTGTGGATATTTTATTAAGTGATACAAGTTCCCCAACTTAGGCTGAAGTGGCCAGAAGAAAAAAAAAAGGTATGACTCAACATTGTATATTCTGTTGCTATAGTGGGTTCAAAACATTTGTATTCCACTGAAGGAAATAGTTTGCCATCTTAGTGTATACAGTGGAGTACTGCATTCTTTTAGGGTAGTTTTTTTCTTTCTAGTACTTTATTTTTAGGAGCACTAATCATTCTGGTCCTATAGAAATAGCTGGAATTGGCTTGAAGTAAAAAATTATAAGGAAACATCTGTTCATATTGTCTATAGAACAAAGTCATGCTGGCAAAGACTTATCTTTTTTTCTTTTACAGACATTTTAAATATAGGTGCAATAAGTCAGAGTATACTTAAATCAGCACTGTTCTTGTGAATGAGGACTTTAGGGGTGCTTCTTCCTAGCTTTGAAAGCTATACTTAACCCTGATTGTGATTTTTATAGTGATCAAGGAAAGGAATTCTTTTTTTTTTTTTTTACTATTATTGCAAAATCACTTGGTGCTTCTGTAGTATATAGCAAATAAATTAGTCTGACTTCATGCAGAAGTTAATTTAGGCAGAAATAACCTCATAATAGGTTATCGGGGAGAGGTTATTCATGCTTTGCTTAGGAGGTTACTATTTAGGTAGGTATGAAACACAGTCAAAACAACACTTTAAGTTCATCAGGTCCTGAGTTATCTCTTTAAAAGTACAAAGGAGTTAACCTCAACAACCAGGTTATAAAGTGTACTCCTGATACCATACAACTTAGAAGTGTCATCTATCAACTGTTGATATCAATGTGAAGGTGGTAGAAATTGAGAGCCTGTGAGCAAAATGTCCAATTGTAGGGATGCTAAATATCTTAAGGTGATTAAAAAAACCCCCCCACAATATTTCACTTTCCAAGGGAAAATCACTTAACCACTAGAGGGAGCTATGATGCAAAAGCAACAGGAAATTATCCCTATTGTAAAGGATCCATACAGCAAGGTGGAAACCAACTATCTAAATAGTGTATATATTAGCTCCAAAGTTAGAGATTGGTTCTTTTTTGGGTAAGTTTTCTTCCTGTAACTTTACCTCTGTCTTCTTATCTGTTGGGCAAAATCATTTCCCTTTTCAGCTTCTGGATCCATTTAGGTTTTGAATAGAGCTTAATTTCACGAGTACCAAGCTTATATAAACCAGGAAAATATTTCTAGATCTTAGGAGAAAATGCTGAAGACATGAATCTGCTTGTTTTCTGCCACCCTGTACATCTTCAGGTATGGAATAGTAAGGCCCTAGAGTGTAAGAATTGGATGGAATAGATAT